GGAAGGAAGGAAGGAGGGAAGGAAGGAGGGAGGGGAGGAAAGACATTAAAGGAAGGAAGAAAGGGAAGGAAGGAAGGAAGAAAGGGAAGGAAGGAAGGGAAGGAAGAAAGACATTAAAGGAAGGAAGGAAGGAAAGAAGGAAGGAAGGGAAGGAAGGAAGACATTAAAGGAAGGAAGGAAAGAAGGAAGGAAGGAAGACATTAAAGGAAGGAAGGAAGGAAAGACATTAAAGGAAGGAAGAAAGGGAAGGAAGGAAGGAAGAAAGGGAGGGAAGGAAGGAAGGAAGGGAAGGAAGGAAGGAAAGACATTAAAGGAAGGAAGGAAAGAAGGAAGGAAGGAAGAAAGACATTGAAGGAAGGAAGGAAGGAAGGAAGACATTAAAGGAAGGAAGGAAGGAGGGAAGGAAGGAAGGAGAGAGAAAAGGAAAGGAAGAAAGCCATTAGAGGGAATGCTGTTGTGAGTAGTGCTATGAAGACAGGAATATTGATTGTGGCCTTTGGCAGTGCAGAGCTTAGGCAGGCCAGGGCTGGGGGCGACTAAGGTCAAAGCTGCACGCAGATGTCCTGTGACTGCCGGCTGCTCTGCGGCTGAATTTCCAACCTGGATTTGTTTTATCATCCTAAGTATGTTTTTCTTTTTCTTTCTTGCCTTTTTGTTGTTGTTGTTGGAGACGGAGTCTCGCTCTGTCGCCCAGGCTGGAGTGCAGCGGCGCCATCTCGGCTCCCTGCAACTTCTACTTCCTGGTTTCCAGAGATTCTCCTGCCTCAGCCTCTGAGTAGCTGAGATTACAGGTGCCCGACTGATAATTTTGTATTTTTCGTAGAGACGGGGTTTCACTGTGTTGGCCAGGCTGGTGTCGATCTCCTGACCTCAGGCGATGCACCTGCCTCAGCCTCCCAAAGTGCTGGGATGACAGGCCTGAGCCACGGCACCCGGCCCTAAGTACCTTTTTCTGAAATTACATCGAACAGGTCAAAAGTCTTTTGGCCTTAATTCTGGGCAACTTGGGGCCCCTGGATCAACCTCAAGTAGAACCTGGAAGAACAAAAACTTACGCAACAGGCATCGTGTTTCCCGTGGTGCCCGTGAGACGCTCCGTGAGTGCCGGACCCCTGATCCCACAGCCCCTGGGGCCCCGGCCTCACCCACGTTCCAGCCCCTGCAGGGGGACCAGCTGGGACACCCACTCGTGTCCTTGCTCATGACGTGGAGCGTCCCCAGCCTGAACTTCCAAAGTGGGCCTGGCTTCGCACCCTGCGCTGCTGTTTCACGCCCGTACCAACGGGGAGGAGACTCCTCTGGGAGACCCACGGCATGTCACCACTAAACCGGAATCTTGCTTTCTTGCAGAAGGACCTGCGG